AATGAAATCTTTGAGATCTTATCTGAAAAATTAAATTAAGACTACTTTCAGATATTTCAATTGATTTAGAATACATCTATGCTGTGAGATAAATTTATGCTGACTTATACAATGACAATATTTTGCAAAATAAAGGCATTAGTAAAAATATAGTACCTTATATCTCAGTTCTAGGATTGTCTAAAAAGTATACTAAAAATAATTCAGAAGGTGATATTTTATAGTGCCATGCCTTATGTTGCTTCAGAGGTTTTATTAGATCAAAAGTTTACACATGCTGTCAATATTTATGGCCTTGGTATTATCATGTCTGAAATGTTAACTAGACAAAGTTCTTTTGATGGTTATGAATTTAATATTGGTATTGCAATAAATATTTGTAGATGATTGCGACCAAAATTTGTATCTTGAAACTCTGAATTGCTATATTGAATTTGCTAAACAATTCTCAAAAAATGGTATACTGCTGAAGCTATTAGAAAAGAAATTAAAAATAAAATACAATAATATATCTGGCCTAATAGTTGTTTTCAAGGTTGAAAATTCAAATAAAATACTTGGTAGATATAATTCTTTTAGCTAGAAATCTGATTATGGTTGTGTACCTTCACCTAGTAGCTTTATTTTTTAAAAAAAATGAAAATATGAAGGAATCTATCCTTAGCCATGTAGATGATCAATCAACTGCAATTATTCATGGTAAAGAATATGGTCTATGGTTTTATTCTTTTGAACTTTATGATCTCAATGGCCTTAAAAAATGGTGTTACCATAGAAATAGAAATGCTTATCAACCACCAATCAGAAACTCAGAGAATAAAATATTTTCAATAGAAGTATTTCAAATATGAAAAAATGCATAAATTCTACAAATAAATTTGTAGTTTATAGTTTATATAGATAAAAATGTATAACAACTAGATGAGGTAAAGCTGTTACAAGAATAAACATCAGATTACCCTTTATTGTTTTTTGATCAATTACAAGATTAACCATAGTTATGTATTGATTATTCTAAAATCAGTAACTTAACCAGATTGGCCAAAAAAACTATTCAGCAAATTTTATCAGATGTTTTAAAAATTATGAAAATAGCTGTAAATTAAAAATAGGTTTATAGTTGTTTTTATAAATTCCGAGACTTCAATAAAAATTTACCAAATGATTTTTCAGTTGATTTGATTAAGCTATTGATTTTAGCAATATTATTATATATAAGATTATAAGGTAGAGGTGTGATGCTGTTGCACTAAAATCAGAAACGTAGACAACAATATTTATAATTATTTATGCTAATTTCTACATTATATTATAAAATGTTTAATTAGATTTAGCATTATGACCTAATCTTAAAAATTTATTCATTTATTTTGTTACAATATAGAGTTTGTATTGTGATCTCATCAACTAATTTAGTTTGTAAATCATGTAGAGCAATTTTAGATCACTAAATTGATATGAATAGTATTGTAACTAAAAGTCGCATATATAGATAGTTTGCAATTCTATTCTAACTAATAATTAAATATGATTAGTATAATACCAATTAGGAGCTTTCAGAAATCAGCTGATGTATTCTAAATCAATTGAAATATCTGAAAGTAGTCTTAATTTAATTTTTCAGATAAGATCTCAAAGATTTCATT